TTCATATGGTATCTCTTGAAATGGTTGAACATTAACCATTTCCTTTTGGTACAACCAATTTTACGTAGGCAATCTTAAATCGTCATTGCATTATTTTATTTGCCTTGCTAAATGAATATCAATTAAAATACCAATTTATGAAGTCAGATCATTAAATATTTTGTCATCTTTCTTTTTCAATGTGTGTGTCTTCCACCCCCACACAAAAGAAAAAGCCTGTGTATACCTTGTTTTCCTTATTTCTGAAGTCTATGTTTTAGTATTTTTGTATGTATGTAAATATTTCTGTATTGTTGAGAAAGTATGATGATACTGTCTTTTATACAGTTAATAAGCACGTTATACAACCACACACCACCTTATGCATCAGTTTCTTATGCACACTATATGCATTACATGATAATGACAGTAAATGTGTTTTGTGTTTTCATGTAAAATTAAACTTTCTTACTGTTACGAATAAATTTAATTATAAGCTTCAAAAAAAAAGACCAACTCTGGGACCACCAACGGATAAGAGCTGAGAACGGGACCCCACCCAGAGAACTGGGGATACCTGAGATGGAGACAGAGATGATGACATGGAGGGATGAAGCGGCTGGGGACTTTGGATCCAGAGAGGGAGAGGAACTGTGGGCCAAAGACTGAGGGGAGAGGGGGGAAGGTAGAGCACGGGCTTCTAGGATATGCCCTTTGGTCGGAAGACGAGGCATGGAGGGGATTGGAACCATGGCAATGTAATGATATACGATGGAATGAATATGGAACTGAGGTTCTCTCATGTAAACTATCATATAATTCACAATAGAACATTAAAAAAAACAAAAAAAAATTACAGTCCTTGTTTCTGAAAAAAAAAAAAAAAGACCAAACAGGATTTCCTCAGAGCCTTCACCAGGAGCCAACCTTATGGACCCCTTGATTTCAGACTGTGAGGTAAAAAATACCTGGTGTTCTAAGCCACCTAGCTCATGGAACTTAGTTAGGGCAGCCCTAGGACATGAACATTAGGGTGGGGATCTGTCTGTCCCACAGGTATGTGGCAGGAATAGGATCTGTTTCCATTCTGTAGCCCCCACAGCTTCCATCGGCAGGGGTTCATTAGATGCTATCTTCACAGCAACAAAAAAAAGGGCAAATCCTGTTAAGGCCTCTCCTCATCTCCTTCAGAAAATCAGTCTCTTCCAAATACATCAGCCTCCTCCTTGAAACCCCCATCAATGTGCTGTTCAAAGCACAACACTCTGGGAAGGCATCAAAGGTCCACTGGGGCAGAAGGAGGAGGGGTCACATCCCAGTCAAGGAACCAATCACCAACACGCTTCCACAACCACCTCAAATTGCAAAAGAGGAGCAAGATCTCGAAAAGTTACTTAGAAAACACGACTATTTCACCATGCCTGGTTTTTCTGCTTCATTACAGGCAGGAAGCCAATGGTGAAAATGAAGACCTAAACACCTCTGCAGGGACTAACACACACCCAGGCAGGGGTGCTCCCTGATCCAGCCCCAGTTCCCATAAAGCTCCCAGGTCCACCTTCCAGGCCATCCCAACAACACAAGGGCAGGAACCAGCAGTCAAGAAGCCTAGTGGCTGCATTCTGCACAACAGAACCTTCCTTGGGTACAGAATGTGAGTAACGGGGATCATTTGCAAGGTAAGAAAAAAATAAGGAGAAATATAAGAGGGGTCTCCAAAAAGTTAAAGGAATATGGAATTAAAAGATAACAGGATTTTTCCATAAACTTTTTGAAGGGCCCTTGTATATAAGCATACAAATATTGTTGAGTCCCATCAAGTTGGTTCCAACTCATAGCAACCTGTATCAGGTTTCCAAGGGGCTGGTGAGTTTGAACCACCAACATTATGGACCTCGTGGTTAGCAGTCCAGTGCTTATCCTACAACGCCACAGTATGGAGGCTCCATACAATAAATACTGGACTATGAACCACAAGGTAGGTAGTTCGAGTCTACCAGCTGTTCCACAGGAGAAAGATGAGGCTTCCTGCCCAGCAAAGACTTAAAGCCTCTGAAACCCTAAGGGTCACTGGTTCGCTCTGAGCCAGAACAGACT